TGGGGCTGGCTGGGGGCAAGGGAGGGAGGGCCTAGGGGGGCATTTGGCCGGCTGGCCCCACCCTTGATAGGGGTAGAAGAGTGATCAGGGGCAGGCCAGCTGCGGGGGAGGGGCCCTGAGAGGTTGGCCGGCAGGTACCACCCCCTGATCAGGCTGCTTCATTGGCTACAGTGGGCATCATACTGATTAGTCTTCGGTCGTTCCAGTTGTTGTGGTTGCTGGCTTTTTACATGTATGTTATGACTTTATTACAGTGACGAACACTTTATTTCTTCCAAGTCTGAGGTTCAGTTTTCGCTTTGAAATTTGTAATTACTTCGTAGGATGATACTTTGACATCATCTGATTATCTTACCCCTTCCCAACAACTCTTTTTAAAAAAAATATTTTTATTGATTTCAGAGAAGAAGGGAGAAGGAGAGACAAACATCAATGATGAGAGAGAATCATTAATCGGCTGCCTCTTGCACGCCCCCTACTGGGGATCAAGCCAGCAACCTGGGCATGTGCCCTTGGCTGGAATTGAACCTGCGACCCTTCAGTCCTCAGGCCAATGTTCTATACACTGATCCGAGCCACCCCAGCTAGGGCTCAACAACTCTTTTATTTAAAAACATTTTTTTTAATTGATTTTTAGAGAGAGAGCAAGGGAGAGAAAGAAACATCCATCTGAAAGTACATCAATCAGCTGCCTCCAGCATGCTCCTTATGGGGCTAGAGCTCACAACCTGGGCATGTGCCCTGACCCGAAATGGAACCTTGACCTCCTGGTTCATAGGTTGATGCTCAACCACTGAGCCACACTGGCAGGGCTTGACACTTTTATTACTTACATTTCAAGCCCTACAAGCTTGAGAATATGAGTATTTGTGACCTGCAGTATATCTTGTAGAACTAAAGTGAGGCTACCCTGAATTCAGGCTATTGATGGCTAACGGCACAGTTGTCAAATCATCAGTGTTTTATAGGGAGCCCAGACTGGCGGAGAGACTAGAACTGAAAGATCAAATGGCACTTAAAAGCCTTCCCAAGAGTGTGCTTACCTGGGCTCTCACGGCAAAATAGACTTAGGGCAAAGTGCTATCAGGTCTGTCTTTAAAAGCGTCATGAATTGATAGTGTGGTTTCGGGTTGTGATATTAATTTATACTAAGCATGCAGTAGTGGGAGAGAATATACAACTTGATGAAAACACTCCTTACCTTCTGTTACTTATCATCTCTTATACAAAGGCAAATTAGTGGCTATATGGCCAAAATTATAAACTATATAACATTACTTGAAAGTTATTTAGATTAAAAAAAAGGCTTTCCTAAAAGCCACAGGCACTTTCTTGTTAGCAAAATGTACTTTTTTTTAAATTAAATCTTTATTGTTCAGATTATTACATTTGTTAAAATGTACTTTTTGAAACTCTAAATGATGGGATTTAGGGTTTATACCTATTTTTATTTTATTTATTTAAATCCTCACCTGAGGATATATTTCCATTGATTTTTAAAGAGAGTGGGAGAGGGAAAGACAGAGAGCAATATCGATGTGAGAAAAACACATCGATTGGTTGCCTCCTACACGTGCCCCAATCAAGGCCTGGGCCAGGGAGGAGCCAGCAACCAAGGTATGGTGCCCTTGACGGGAATCGAACCCGGGATCTTTGGTCCGCAGGCTTGTGCTCTATCTGCTGAGCCAAACTGGCTAGGGATATACCTATTTTTAAAAATTAATCTTATCCTTCAACTTAGACAATGGTCAGGAAATGTACAGATGACTACTCACTGCATATAAATAAATGTGTTATTGGGACATCTCGAGAACTTTTCCCATTGGCGCTATTAAAGATTAGGATCTCCCATGCCTGTCCTTAGACTCTCTGAATTTTACTTTATTTTTTATTGATTTCAGAAGGGAAGGGAGGGAGGGAGGGGGAGAGAGTTGAGAGAAGAGAGAGAGAGAGAGAGAGAGAGAGAGAGAGAGAGAGAAACATCAGTGATGAGAGAGAATCATTGATTGGGTGCCTCCTGTATGCCCCCACTGGGGATTGAGCCTGCAACCCGGGCATGTACCCTGACAGGGATTTGAACCTCAAACTCCTGGTTCATAGGTTGATGCTCAAAGCATCGAGCCACGCCAGCCAGGCTGGTCTCTCTGAATTCTAAAGGCATACTGAAAAGGATATTAAAGTTGGAATTAAACAGAGCAGTGGGCAAATTCTGGTTTCACCACTTGCCAACTGTGAGTTCTTCCTCATCAGTAAAACAACAGTGAGCTTTCTTACCAGGCTGGTGGTTATTTGGTGAGAGAATGCCTATAAAACTCCTCGCAGAAAACAGATCTTTAATAAAAAGTAGCTATTTTTAGTAGACAGGAGAAGTGCCGAAAAGGAAGGAGAATCTATACAATTATCAGGCAGGAACCTT